TACCCAGTATAATCTTCTCCATAATTTTTCCAGGAACTGAGGTTAGACTAACAGGTCTGTAGTTTCCTGTGTCTTCCCTCACGCCCTTCTTGTAAATTGGAATAATGCTGGCTAGCTTCCAGTCAGCAGGGACCTCCCCTGACTCCCAAGGCCTTTGGATGATGATCGAGAGGGTCCTGCCGTAACATCCGCTTGCTCCTTCAGTACTCTGGGATGAATCCCATCAGGCCCCATGGACTTGTGAACATTCAGCTGATACAGCTGGTCCCTTACAATTTCAGTGTCCACAAATGGAAAGTCACTGTTCCCACACTCATGGTCCTCCGACTCAGGGGACTGGGCAGCCCAAGGTCTATCATTATTATTAAAGACTGAGGCAAAAAAAGCATTGAATGCCTCCGCTTTTTCTTCATCCCTATTAGTCAGGTGACCATCTTCAACAAATATCAGTCCAGTGTTTTCTTTAGAGCTCCTCTTCCTATTAACACTTTAAAAAGCCCTTCTTGTTAGCTGACACAACACTGGCCAGTTTCGACTCCAGTTGAGCTTTGGCCTTATCATGTCTTCTCCCTGCATATACAAACCACATCTCTGTAGTCTTCCTGCAAAGCCTGACCTTGCTTCCAGAGGTCATACAATTTCATCTCTGAAAGGAGGCTCAGGGGAGACCTTATCACGCTCTACAACTACCTGAAAGGAGGTTGTAGCAAGGGGGGTGTCGGTCTCTTCTCCCAAGTAACTAGCGATAGGACAAGAGGAAATGGCCTCAACTTGCACCAGGGGAGGTTTAGATTGGACATGAGGAAAAATGTCTTTACTGAAAGAGTGGTTAAAGATTGGAACAGGCTGCCCAGGGAAGTGGTTGAGTCCCCAACCCTGGAGGTATTTAAAAGACGAGTAGATGAGGCACTTAGGGACATGGTTTAGTGGACATGGTGGTGTTGGGTCGACGGTTGGACTCGATGATCTTAGAGGTCTTTTCCAACCTCAATGATTCTATGAACCCAGCTTGCTTGACTTACGACACTGGAATTGCCTGCTCCTGTGCTTCTAAAAGGTGGTTCTTAAAGACTGACCAGCACTCATGGACTCATAAGCCCTCAAAAGCAGATTCCCAGGGTACTCTGCTAAGTTTTGTCTGTTTTAACAACAGATAAGCTGCAAGAACAATTTACCTTGGAAAATACGGTTTCTCTAGTTTTTGAGGCATATGACTCAAGATTAAATGTTTTAAAGGCTGTAGGTCAAACAGTTATGGTCCTCATTTGCTGGGTACTTTCCAGCATGTAAAGCAACCACTCTGCAAGTACTCCTGTGGTGCTTTATGCCTGCCCGTTCCAGTGAGGTGTCAGCCTCATAACTCTGCAATGGAGCTGGCAAAAGGGTAAGATTCTGGAAAGGTTTTAGTGGTCATTCCTGGCAGAGAAGATTTGTACTGCGAAGGAGGAGCTCTCTCAGGGGACAGCACAGCCCTTATCTGCCAGGTCCTTGCTTAGGAAACTTTGCTGGCCAAGGTGGCTTGAGCAGAGGCCCGCCCCCCCGCCCCCAGGCAATCCCTGTACCCTGCATGTCCCCACGGTTGTAAGTGCAGCTCTTCATCCAGGCTGAGAATTGCCAGCCCTGATGGAGGGGGGAATGAACAGCAGGGGAAATCCTTGAGGCTCATTTTGAGTTGCGGAAGGATGTGGAGTGGGAAGAAGAGAGGGAGTTGGGGGTGCATTAATTCAAGATAATTTTTTTCTGAAAGTGCTTTGTTGTTGTTTGTTTTTCCTTCATAGCAGCCAGTACTTAACAAAATGACTAACTTGCTTGTGACTCATGTCTCATTAGTGAGGATCTCCATGCTCATCTTTCAGGACTATAATCATGAGCAATGGGGGAAAAAAACCTCTCAGCACCTTCAGACAGCAGTTGTCCTCTTTCTGCTTAACCTGCTGAGGTGGGGGAGTCTTTGTGTTGGTTTTGATAAGCCATTTCATTCCCTTCCTCCTTTTTACCTCAGTAGTCCCCAAAATCTCAGGACTTACCTCATTCCTGTTTCTGCTCAGGAGTCTTCCCGGGGAAGATGTAAACTGAAAACACTTGTGTTGCCTACAGCCTGAAGAGCTCTGGCCTTAATGAAGATTTTCCTTATGGGACCATTTAAAAAGTGTCAGGCAGGTGCTATAATGGGAAGCCCCGCTGGGCACAGCAGCCCCGCAGCTGATGAGAGCTGGGGGATGGCAGCCCCCTCCTGCAGGGACACCTGGGGTCTGCGCAAGGGAGGGCTTGCCCAGCTATTTTCACTGGAGGAGAAAGTGCCTCTCTCTTCAGTGAGCTATCGGCTTGCCCTTCCTGCTCAGCTCCCGCGTCGGAAAGGGCTTTTTTATCTTTAAATGAAAGCTTAGATCTGGACTGATTGCGATCCCTGGAGTATGTGTTCCCTGGCAAGATGACTAAACCAAATGTTAATTGCTCTTGAAGTCAGCCTTTAATCAACTCATCTTGGGTTCTGGCCACTGTATCTCAGTTAGGTAAAAACATCTCTTCAGCCTTGCAGCAAGCACTAGAGAAAAAAAAGAGAAGGAGACTTTTGGAAGCATCCTTGCTGTGTCTGTGTTCAGGACATCTCCATGGAGGAGCCTCTTACCTAAATAACTTCCCAAATTGCTGGAAAAAAATCCTCCCCTCTTCTGTCATACTGATTTTCAAGTCCTTTGAGCGCTCTCAAAGAAATAAAAAATAAGCATGGAGTGCAATGCTCTTTGCACCGGTAGCTGGGGAGTAGTAGTACATTGCTCCTCAGCACACACACCAAACCTTGGTATTTCCTGACAGGTTCTTGTAGCCTGTCTGGATGAGCTGCAGCAGCTTTCTCCTCTCGCGCGCATGCCCATTAGTTGGTGCGAGGGCCTGCATGGGCAGGGTGGTAGTACGGTGCTTGCAGCCAGCTCCAGTTTGACCCTGCGCCAGGCAGTGTGGGGTGAAGTGAGGATGCTGCGCCTGCAGGATTGACCACAGAGGTACCTGTGGGACTTGGCAGGCTGCGTCAAGCCTTTGGGTTTTGCTTGGATCGCGCCCAGCACCGGAGTTGTGACAGACAGTTTGCGCTGGGGCAGGGTGGCTTTGACGATAGCATTTTGCTCAGCGCTCACCTCTCCCCTTTCGTCATCTCAGATCCCACCTTGCAGGTGGACACGGCCACCGCCAACCTCACGGTGCAGGAGAAGGAGTCCTTCCCACTGGACTGCAGCATCCTGTCCCGCTCCAGCCCAGAGTCCCACTTTGCGGTGACGTGGTACAACCTGCGGGCCAAAGAGGTGGGCGGCCATGCAGAGGAGGAGGAGGAGGAGGAGGAAGAGGAGGAGAGGGAGGCGGTGCTGAGCGTGGGCCCCGATGCCATCTTCAGCCCTGAGGCCGGTCGCTGGGAGGGCCGCCTGCGCTTCCAGAGGCTCTCGGCGGTGCTTTTCCGGCTGACAGTGCTGCAGGCAGGCGGTGCCGACACGGGCAACTACTCGTGCCGCGTGGAGGAGTGGCTGGCAGACCCCAACGGCGTGTGGTACCGGCTGGCGGAGGAGGAGTCGGGGACGGTCGCTGTTCACGTGCAGGATGCAGGTGAGAAGAGGCGATGAGCCTCTTGGGGGTATGGCCCTGGCATCCCCTGCGTCTGTGGTTCAACCAAGATAAAAAGGCCAAGGAGTGAGTGGGACAGGGTCTCGCCTGCACCAGGGCAAATCTGCGGTGCCAGTGCTTTTCCAATCAGCTTGGTGGCTTGTAGCCCAGCTCTTGGCTGGGCTTGCACATCTGTGCTGCGCTTAGCTCTGTGCTAGGGCTGCCCATCCCACAGCACTTAGTGCCTGGTGTGTCCCAGATTAGTGGGGGCGGACATTGACCTCCACTGGTGTTTAGCCTTTCCCTTTGGGAAACATCCTGGAAGTTGGCTTAGCTCTGCACAAGGGCACAGGCTGTGGCACAAGGGTCTCTTCCCAGTAACTCTTGAAGCCATGGGATGGTCTAGAGGCCCCAGAGGTAGCTGAGGTCATGACAGTTTTGTGGGCCCTTAAGGGAGAGACCCTGGGGTGCTGCCTCTGTGTACCACCACTGAGGGAAATGATGCTTTGCAAGGCTCCCTGCTTTATAAGATATCAGAAAATCCACACCAGGGAGGACTCTCTCTAGCACTCATGAAACTCTTAGGGGGAATAAAGCCAAAACATGCCCTGCAAAAGCTTTTTTCTGCTGCTCTGTTTACCAGTATTGGTGTTTTTCTCAGAGCCTCACTTCCTGCATTGACACAGATTAACGAGCATCTGGTTTTTATGTTTTTGAAGAAGTTTGTAGGCCATGCGTTGCAGAGAAGCTGTGAAATGTGACCGTCCTGTGTCTCTTTCCAGGCTCCACCCTGCAGTCTGTCATCTGCTCCAACGACGCCCTCTTCTACTTTGTGTTCTTCTACCCCTTCCCCATCTTCGGCATCTTGATCATCACCATCCTGCTGGTGCGGTTCAAGAGCCGAAACTCCAGCAAGAACTCTGAGGGCAAGAATGGGGTCCCCTTGCTGTGGATCAAAGAGCCTCACCTCAACTACTCTCCCACTTGCCTAGAGCCACCAGTCCTCAGCATCCACCCAGGAACCATAGACTAAAGAGGCAGAAGCGCCTGGGGGGACGCGCAGAGAGAGAAAGCAGAGACGCACTGGGAACGCTAAGGAACAGAGTGTTTTTTGTTGTTCTTGTTTCATTTGTTTCAGTGTCTGTATTCCGGCGCAGCGGCTGAGCTCTGCGGAGCGCCCAGCCAGTGGGGACAGAAAAGTCCAAGGCTTTCTCCAGCACCTGTGGGAACACACCCCATCACCCCAACAGACGGAGGGTCCCTGTGCTTGCTGTACATAGCGGATGTTCCTCTCGGATTAATTTTGCCCCTGTCAGTTGCTGTCCTTTGGGCCGTTACTTTTTTGTTGTTGTTTCTTTTTCAGTCACTCCAAGAACTGTAGGCTTCCCCCACCCTCCACACAGCGAGGAGTTCCCAGGGGGCTTTTGGTCCTGGGACGATCTTTGGAAGTAAATGTATATGTTTTCCAAAAGAGACTGTGGTTTTCCTCCTCAGACTCGGTGCCACAGTGAAGAAGGTCTTTTGCCAAGGTGCACTGAGCTAGCTCCTCCCTCTTCCAAAGCCGACAAAGCCAGGTCCACCTCCGGAGGGGGTTAGCTGGGCTATCAGGAGGTTCATCTCGAAGGCTGGCTATAGCCTCAGCATCTTCTTGCCTTCGTCTTATTGTTCTCTCAAGAGGGGGCAAGTCACCTTTTGGGAGTGTTCCCCCCATCTTGGAGAGACTGAATATTCAGCACGCTTACGGTCAGGACAAAAGCAATTTAATTTGTCTCCAGGAACTGAAGGGGGGATGGAAGGAGGACACCTGAAAGCCCTGACGTTGTTGGTAGCAAAGAGGGTCCTCGTATGGTCCAGCTTACCAGAGTCGTGCTCCTCCCTGGTGTCCATGCTGCCACCTCTGACAAGGCGGGTCCCCTCTGTGCCCCAGTCACCTGGGGACAGGTGGCTGGATCCAGTCTCTGAAGACTTCAACATGACCAAAGTAATGACTCTAGAAAGGGGGAAAGGGGAAGCTCCACAAGTCGGGTTCACGGCCCCTGGATGGTTCAGCCAAGGAGCCCAGTTGCAGCCACGCAGCAGGGACATGCAATTAACCACCACGTGTCACGAGTTTCCCCATGGCTTGCACTACTTCCTGGCACAAGCTTGGACAAGGCAAGGAGCCTGCACTGCATCGGCGCCCTGGGGGCTTCTCTGTCCCCTTGGGCCAAGAGAAATCTTCCCCTGCATGTGTGCGTGCATCTGCCGTTTTTTGTTCCTGGGGCTTTAGGAGGGGAAACTATTCCTCCGTAAGCTCCCCCTCCTGGCAAAGTCACCTGCTCTTGTCATAGGCAGTCGCTGTGGCAGGAAATGCTGTTCTTTCTGTGAAAGATATGGCTCTCACAAACCAAACCAGGGCTCTCTCTGTGTGGGGCACCTGAGCTCCAATACCCCGTAATGCCAAGTATCCCTGCCCTGTCCTGTGGAGGAAGCCGCCTCCTCCCCCATACGCCTGAAGCGTTATGTCTGGCGGAAGAAAATGTTTGCCAAAAATGGCCTTTTGTTGTCTTCCTTGATGTCTTCCTGGCATATCCGGCCATTTATTTTTTGCAGCATGGCTGAAGCCAACCGGGGTGGATGGGCACAGCCACAAGACACACACCCCCCACCGCCTCGTGAGCAAGAGGTGCCATACTCACAGCCACCGTCCTCTTCCGGAGGGTTGGACTGCTCTTTGTGAAGAGAAGGGGACCTCAGCAGATGCTCTGTAGCACTAGTTGGTTAGACCCTGATGCCTTGATGTTTCAGAGGTGGCGAAGCCTCGGGTGGGAGATCTGCACTGCGCACCCTCTCTCCTGGCTGGGAGAGGACCCATGTGGCTGCAGACTGTCCCGTGCCAGGGCATTCGAAGTCAGCCATCTCTGCTCCTCCACCAGAACGGCATTGGTTTCTTCTTCCGCTGGGAAGCCCAAATTTCACTTGTCCCTCTGCAAAGTCTGCCTCCTCGAGACGTAACTGCTTACTGGCTCCAGCATATGCATAGTATGATACTCCTATATATATATATATATATGCATCACACACCCACACACTTGTCTTCCCTTTCTGGATAAGGCATCTGCAAAGAGAGGGGTGGGATGACAAGTGAATGGAAATGAAGAACCGAGGCGCAAACAGCACCAGCTGCAGCCAGTGGGTATTGTTTCGTAAATGTAGTATCTCCTGTACGTACTGCTCCCGGGCAGGAACTGCAACTCATTTCAGCTTTAAAGGAAAAAAGAGAAAATGAAGTCAGTGGGAGCCATTCTTTCCTGGGAGAGAGCACTGTGCTGCGTCCAAGCCATGCTCCTCCTCTCTAGCCTGTCTGCCCCGTAGCAGGGCTCTCCTGGAGGGCTGTCCTGTGGCCCCGTCCCCCTGGCCGAAATGGGTCCCTTCCCAGCCCGGCGGTTCCTGCACCGAGCCCAGGCTTTCCCGGGAAGCGGCTCCCACAGTGGTCCCTGAATGTACCTTGTTGGTGACATTTCTCCGTTGCTCTGGCAGTGTGTTGCCCAGTCTCAAACTTCTGTTTTTATAAGGCAGACTTCCTGTAACGAGTTTTAACACGAAGCTTTTCAAACCACTCTCTCTGCTGTAACTTTCTGTAACAAACCCGAGAAGAAAGAGAGATACCCTATCCATGCATGATGTGGAAAAATATTTGGGATTTTTTTTAAAAAAAAAAACAACTTTGTACTATGTTGCACTAAAACATGTTTTATACAACACACCTGAGAGCTGTAGTAAACTGTGTTGAAATTGTGATTCCTATTGCTGGTGTTTTTTGTCAGATTTGGGCTTTCATTATGCCTTTATGCGCACTCCTTCCATAAAGGTGTGCTGAACTCCTAAGCCCGCTCCCCCTTTTAGGCAGCCTCTCCCTCTCCCACCACCCCTATTCCCTGATGCATCAACTCTCCTCCTGCCTTGGTAGCGTATCTCCTCTCTCTTGCGGGCTGGAGCTTGCAGACACCTTGCACCCTCTGGCTCTTCATACTTCTCCCTTCCATCCTTTAATTCATCCAGTAATAGAATATAACATTTAACAGAGGCACGTCAGGTCTGCTTATTGAATGGGACACACCATTTTTTAAATTGCTCTGAAAATAGTAAGTACTTTGCTGTGTCATAGTCTGGATTTGAAGAAAAAACATATTTTTTATAGAATTGTCCATAGCAAATGTTAAGCAAATCATCTTTAGTAACCTTGATGTAAGCAGAATAATATAGTTCACTACAGAAGTTGCTTAAGTTGATGTAAAATGCAACCTTTTAATTCTCATTACCCACTTTCACCTGGAATAAGGGTTTGGTTAGTAGTCTTGAACTCCCCCATTAACTGAATTTGGGAAGTAGCGTGATACATTCTTACCTGTATAGCAAAAGTGCTGTGAAATTGTGCAAAATGCACTGCCGACGCAGCTGTCAGGTTGGGTTTGGGTTTTTTCATTTAAAACAAAAAAATATCCTCTGCTAAAATAATTGTATGAGAAAACTCTGTTGTCCCCGGACGCAACTGGCTGTTTGCTCCCCCCACCTCCGGTAGGTTGTCTTGGGCTGTACCTGCTATAATCTCTGTGCTAAGGAGCAGAGGTTTTAGCTTTACACATGCTCAGTGCTGGATGGCAAGTGGTGTCCCCGGCACTCCCCGTCAGCAGTACAGGGCGGCGAGCGTGGGCTAGCCACCGTGGGTTTGCTGGGAGGCATCTCTGCCAGCCCATGCACGCTCCCTGCGGCCAGGCCTGCGTCCCTGACCCCCTCCGGCATGCTCATATGGGCAGGACCCTGGTTTGGGGCAGCTTGTGTGGGTTTTGCTGCCTGTCCTGCTGCTGGATCATCGCTAGCAACGCTGCAGCAGGTGCTGCTGCTCCCCTTGGGGACCAGACGATGTGCAGCCGCCATGCTGACGAGGAGGAATGTCTCGAGGCTCGGCTGCTCAAGGGACATATGCACTGTTGCGTGGTCCCATCAAAGCCCCTTGTAACTGCTCTCCCCCACCCACTGCCCGCAAGCCCCAAGCTGCTAGCTCCAAAATGGCCTCCCCACTGAAGCCAACACGCACAAACAGAAAAAAGCAGGCCTGGCTCTGGCTTACACTTGCATGCTTTAATCCAGCAGGTTTGCAAACTGAGTTTGCAAAACCTTGAGCGAGGGAGGGGCGGCAGGTGGGGTAAGCGTGCCCCTGGGGGGCCCTGCCGCCCCCCGCCCCCCCGGCGATGCGGTACCAAGTCCTTGGCCACCTGCTCCAGGCGGTCCCTGTACTCCAGGTGGGCGTAGAGGGAGGCGCTGACCCCACGGAAGCCGTGCATGGCCCCCCACCAGCAGGCCGCAATGGCGGCGGTGGAGTCGCTGTCGCCCCCATGGAAGAAAGCCCGGTGAGCCAGCTCTGCCCAGGAGTCCCCCGCGCCCAGCAGCGCGTCGTAAGCGATCATGGGGGCGTCGTGCCCGCTGCTGCCCCCCCAGCCGTCGTAGCTGAGGGAGGTGTAGAACGAGTCTCTCTCTTCCACGCCGTACTTGGGGGGGAAGGTGGGCGGCGAGACCCTGTCTGATATGCCTCTCTCTGCCAGGTATTTTTCCCATTGCTCTTCGAAGTAATGCCTGCAAAACAGGAGAGAAGATGGAGGGGCTGTAAGAGACGTCCCACAGCAGAAGCGTATACCCGAGCTCCCCGCAGGCGCTCTGGGCGCCAGCTGTAAACGTGCCACATCAAGAGCCTGGAGCGACAGCTCACAAAATGGTAGGTATCCCCCGTCTGTCAAACTAGGGACATGATTTACGGTTAAGAGGCACAAGGACATGTTTCAGTGAGTTAGATTTCCCCTCTCTCCAGCCACATGGGAGAAGGCAGCCCAGCACCTGCTGCTGTCGTGCTGCACAGGATTCAAAGGCTCAGAGTGAGAACTGAGTCATCCTCCCAAATTCAGAGTACCTCTACCCCTGTCTGTGCGTGCCCCTGTGTGCAGAGCCACACTGAATCTGCAGCCAGATTTGGTTACAACTTTCAAACTGAGCTCAGCCCTAAGCCTGGCGCTGTTCCCCAGCCTTGCTTCCCATCTTTCATCAGATCACGGTTGCTTGAGATGACAAGTCGAGCTACCTCATACTGGATCCAAAAAATGTCACAACTACATGACCCAAACACAATCTGACCTTTTTTTTTTTTTTATTTTAAATAAGTTAGAGGTATTTTTCCCCTGGGGGACTTCAGAGACTTTCTGAATCGATTTGATCCTACAGCAGGCATGTGCTACTCTAGGAGTTTACCATAATGTGATTACTGAATCTTAAGTATAAACAGAGCTCGCCCTCTCATACATGAGGTTTATTTTAATTTTAACAAAACCCAGTGCTGGGAGTGCAGCTCACCACTGCCCCATGTTCTCCTCCACGAAGAAGCCGGTGTGCCGCACATAGGCTTTCGCCCGCGGCAGCACCCCTCAGTAGCCCCTTCCCCCAGGCCGGGGGGGGCACCCCATTCACCGCAAAAGCCGTGAAGAGGGCCGAAGCCAGGGACCCCAGGTAGCCGGTGGGGTGGTGGTGGGTCATTCGGCCGCTCTCGATGCTGACTTGCACCAGGGTGTCCAGCTCAGCGGGGCGGTGGAAACGCAGCCCGATGCACATGGAGCGCATGGCGGCCCCGCAGCCCCCCGCCTGGGGGCTGAATGTGATCCTCCCGCCCCCCCGCCCGGATCCAGCTTCAGCGCATTTTCCTTACACGTGGCACCTGGACAGGAGCAGCAGAGCCCGAGAGAGAAAGAAGGGAAAGAAAAGAAACAGAAACACGCATCAGTAGGCGACAGGGTCACATAGCTTGGGAACCGAGGGAAGACAGATGGGGTAGCAGGGAAGGAAGCCTTACTCTCTGTAAGGGATTCGGGCTTCCCTGTAAAAGCATCAGTTGTCTGCTCACATACGTTTCTTGCCTTAAATTGCTGGTGCATCCTGCATATTCCTAAGCAGACCTGATAATTCCTGTTTGTGAAAATAGTTAAAAAGTCTAGGGGAGTAAAAAACATGCCGCTGCTGATTTATGTAATTTACACTGTTTATATTTACATTTCATGTTATTTACTTAATAACTTATCTATAAAACATATATCTATTAGGTATATTATGTACACATATATCTAGATATCTAGATAGACATATATAAATATAAAAGAGGTTTGGAGGGCCATCAGATCACATCAATCCCTGATCCAAGGCATGCCCAAGTACCTCTGCGTTTTTTCCTGACAGTTGTTTAGCCTCTTTACAGGACCCTTTAAAGACAGCGACCCCACATGCTCCCCAGGAATCCTTCCCATTGCCTCGCTGATACAAAATGTTTTCTAGATCTCCCTCTAGCAGTTTAAGTTTGTCAGAAAGCGATGAATGTAGTATCTCCCTCACCACAACATGGTCTGAGCAACTGGCTTTACTGTACTCCTCTTCAAGAAGCTGCAGAACAACTGTACTAGGTCAGACCAAAGGTTTGTCCAGCCCACTAGCTCGTCTCCAAACACAGTCACTAACAGGTAACTACGGAAACACTGTAAAAAATGAGGCAAGTACAATGTTTGTCCAAGAAGACCCGCCTGGCTTGCAGCAGACAGAGGAGCACAGCCTGCTTGAGTCAGAAGATGGATCCAAAATGCTGCGCTCAGTAACCCCCAGTGGACCTAGCCACCATGAACTGGTCTCCTTAGCTTGAACCCATGCATGCCTTCAGACTCCTTTAACATCCCATGGTAACCAGAGCCACGATTTTGTTATGCAAAGCATTTCCTTTTGTTTTAAACTGACATTTGACAATTTCCCTAAATTCCCCTCTCATTCTTACATTACAAGAAATAACGACTTTTCATGCTCCACGCTATTCAAGACTGTATATATTTTGTCCCTCTTCCTCAGTTTTCTCCTGCTCTGAGCTGACACCCTAGTCCAATTTTGCCTCTCTTCTGGTGGGAAGCCACACCGTAACTCCTCCTTGCCCACCTCCATCTCTTTCATAGTTCTGCTATTTACTTTTTAAAGAAATGACTCTGCTTCTTCCACTGCTGCTGCTTCAGAAACTCACTTGTTAGTCCAGCACATTCATAGGATAAAGCCATCTGCACAAACACATCCAAATTTCAGAGCCCAGCCAGCTTCCCTAGCCAAGACTGTAAAACAAGCCCAAATGCACATGTGCAAGGAAGAAGAAACAGGTTTGAAACATTAAATTGTCTTTGATTCTCTTCTACCTTGCCTTTTTCTCCTAGTCTTCTCTTCTGGACAAATCTTAAATACTTTTTTCTCAGCAGAAAGGTAAATCAAGGGCAGGTTTCAAGCAGCTTCATTTAAGTTTCAATGTGTTGGACAACGGCAAAAGCGGACTCAAAAGACTAGTCTTCTCCTAACCACAGCGTGCCTAGTCCTCTCTCAGACACACAGGGTAACAGCAGCAGTTGACATGCTTATGCACCCAAAATTAGACCGTTGCTCCTATACTTTGCTGCCTAACCGGGACAGCAGCTGATAAACTTGCAGGTGCTCTGTTACTTTGAAAGTCAAACTAAGTAGAACAGAATAGCAAGGAAGAAGCCTGGTCTAGAAATTTCACGTAACTCTACAATTCAATTACCTTTGGTGCAATTCGATCACCATGATCGGGCAGCTTGCTAATCACAGCTAGGTACTGCACCAAGTACTCTGCAGAGCTGTTCACTTCTGCACTTTCATGTGTACGCTTGGCAGTAGGATGTGGTACGTGGCAGTCTGTTTTACCTGCACACGGCATTTACAGCACCCTTGTAACCGAAATACCTCCACATCCAAGCACAGCTTTAAGATTGGCTTCTGGACATGTGCTAAAAATAAATAATGGCTGGCTGCTGTCAGGAATAAGGTCACGTGGATCCTTTTATAGTTCTGGTCTAAGTGTCTTCAGCGTCTTTCTTTTCCGACAGTGTTGTTACATTATAGGCTTATTAGATCAGTGCAGGATACAGCCCTGCGCAGTGTGAATGGGTGGACCAGCTCCCCGTGAATGGTTGTCTCAAACTGAGAAAGCAGCTCGGTCCTGCGGCTGTCGGGCTGTTCGCCCCGCAAGCCTGTCAACTGAAATCGACTTTGAGAATGGAAATGGCCTATGCAAGTCTCCCCCATAGGAAGCAACGGGTTGCCGATCAGCGCAGCCCACGTCAGGCCACTTTAGCTCTTGTGAATTCCCCGCAGCGTGACCCAGGCATGAACCAGACCTGCTGTTTCACCAGCCTCATCCATGCCTGCTGTGCCAGCACACGAGCCTCTCGCGTCACGCCACCGTCACACCCTTCCCAGTAGATGAGACCTGCTGGTTTTGCAGTGCCACATGGCCAGCCAACCCCTGGATCAGTCCAGATGTTCCTTGCACATCCTTCTTCCCGGTGATTTACAGAGTGAAAATTGCGGGGCCGTGTTCCTCTGCTGGAAGAAGCAGGAGGCAGAGCGTTTGGTGTAAGTAGCACGGGGCTCTGCCGGGACTGATCGCCACCAACCTCTAACTGAACTGCCTGGGAGCTTGTTTTTGTGATGTCTCAAAGTGGGAACGTGTTCAGGCCTCTAAATCTGCTTTTCATGTAGTTTATTAATTCAGTGCTGGCTGCTATGTATCAAAATCATTAAGAGGGATATCAGTATAATTTCCAACTTTATGATGATTAACAGAAAATTGAGGCATTTTTTCAAAAATCTGACTATACTAAGCATTGCACTTACGACCTATAATAGGACATTAAAAAGAACCTGTCAAACAAAGCCACGTTTTTAAAAAGCTGTGCTGACTACCCTATTTGTATGATCCTCGTAAAACAGACCTTCCACCAGGAAGACAAGGGGAAGGGGAGAGAGCAAAGGGCCTAGGGTAACTTAAAATCAAAATCTGCACAACACAAGCAAAACGAACTCTGTAATCTTGCTGGAACTGTGAGAAAGACATTTATTTCTTCAGGACATGTTGGGGCAGGTTGAGAGCAGGCAACACAGTCCTTGATAAAAACTGAGATTGTTCTTGCATTAACTGTAGTCAAAAGAAAATGAGGAAGATGACAAGGTTTAAACTCTAAGGAAAGACTGGTTATTTTGCAATAACAATTTACTTGCAGCTTTAAACCTGTGCGTATTACTTTAGGAGATGACTACTGATAACCTGCAAATGAAAAAAAATTGTGTAAAACAAACCAGTATATGACAGCTAAGACTCTTGTGATTTATGAAGCATTACAAGTATTATCCTCATGCTTTTAAACAGTTAAAATATTAAAACATTTAAAAGCTGATTTAGGAAGACTAAGCTGAAGTCACGTTGGCAGGCCTTTTTTCAAAAATAGGTTTAGAAAAAAAATGCTCTAGGAGTTTTTGAATCAGGAAATTATGTTTTGGAAATCCACCAAATCCTTAGGGATTAGGGATCCTTTGTACTAACAATAGGAAACTAAAAGCAACCTGAGGAGGGTACTGGTCTAAGAAGAAATACAAGCAAAAAGTGTGTGAAGAAAGCCAACTTGAAAAAGCTTCAAGTACAACTGGACGCTATTTCTGGAAAAGGCTTCCATTCAAATTATATAGACTCTTCATGAGCACGGATAATAGCAGTTGTTTGGATCTGTCAATACACATTAAAAAGGTGAGTTAAAACAACCACACAGTTGTAAATAATTCCACAGGAAGTGGACTTGGACCAAAAGACACCGAGTGACAGGCAACAGTTTTGAAGCAGAAGGTTTCCTGGAGAGCTGTGGAGGCAGGTGTAGTTGCACCATGAAAAAAGAAATATGGCCATGCTTGTGCCGCTTAATTCACTGGCTTCGTTATCCGTGAAGAACAATGAATTTGGGGCTGTGGCACATCACAAAGAGCAATAATGGATGTAGGGATTAACTTGCCATTGAATGAAGACATTGAGTTCCCTCCTGGGGCTGCATACTTGAGGGACCCTGCCGTTGCCGTCTGGTGACTCATAACATTGTGGGAATCCCTTTGTTACTACGGGTTTTGGTTTTCGGGTCTAGACTCCCTTGTGTGGGCAAGCAATGTGACTTTCCCCCACTGTTCTGGGGGAATCTCTTCTCTGTTGGGTGAAAGTTGCAGCAGCAACTTTCCATCCTCAGCCTTAAGGGCTGCAATTCCCCGGTGAGTACTTACTTTGGCCAGAACAGCATCACCTTGGGTTATGTTCTCAGTTTAAATCCATTTACTCTGAACTGCCGAAAGAAGTTATTGACATGCGACTTCTATCATTAGGTTTTATCAATACAGCATGGAGACTCCAGACTGCAGACAGCTTTTCAGGATATGGATTAGGTATTCCCTTTGCTGGTACGTCAGTGGGCATTAAACTGTTAAGTATCAGGATTTAAGCTCTCAGAGCCGAGCACCTTTCCTGTGGCTGCAGCAGGAGCACTCCAGAACACTGTTGCAAGAACATTCCCACAGACTTCCATTTTTTTCCACGTTACTTTCCCCACTTCCCCCAAAATTTTACGAGGTTAAGTGTCCGTGGACCCACAAAAGAAGTTGCATTTCTTTGTTTAGCTAGATAACCTGACCTTTCCTTGTCACGCTGATTAGTGTCCATAGCAAATTTACTTTAAAATCCTTCACTTCCGAACAGGAGCTGCTTTTGGGCATACTGCAGCTCAGTTACTCACAGAAGGACTGCAGCAGGTGTGCTATTATGCTTAGCTATTAATTACCAACATTTAAATTTTAGCTTCTTCTCCTTTTCATCTCAGGTTTTAGTCACCAAGCTTAGATAGCTGAGGCAAAAATAGCTTCCAGGTGCTGTCTCACTGCCAGGGTTAGTCCACCTTGGCAGACCCCATCAGCTGGGGGAGCTACAGGATGCTCCTTTGCCAAAACAGCAGTGAGTCTCTCGGAAGTTTAACCTACCGACTCCTGCTATCCTGGCAAGCATCGTTACCCCTTCCTAAATATTTTATTAATTAGGCTACTCCAACAACTGAGACTATCTGCGTCAAAGAATACTGATAGTTTAGCTCTTTACATGAGGGTAGGAGGTCAGTGTGGAAGGGTAAGCAGAATAAACTCCTGCTCGAGTTTCCAACCTGTTTTACCTTGGAAATGCACAGCTCTGTCACACTATGCTCGGTGACCCTAAGAGAGCAATGCAGGATTTGGCCTTTCCCATGTTTAATGTCAAGCCAGAATATTCTTGATATATTCTGGCCACTCCAAATAGGCATGTCTAGTAATTTCTTTTCGATGTATAAACTTTGCATAGGATTGCTGAATTTGGGCGTTTCCTGGATACTTCACGCTGCCTGCACTAGTCAAATTAGAGGCCCAGCCTCCGTAGCTCCAATTTAAGTTTAATTCAAGCATCCAGAAGAGGCTGGGCCATGAGCGCAGAGACAGACGGGGTCCTCAGGGAAGAGTTGGGTCAGCAGGCCTGGGTGAACGAGGAACTACAGGAATACGTTGCATACGGTTTGGCTACTGCAGCCTGTGAAGGCGCCCTTCCTGAACACTGCCACACACTGCCAGTCCCTGCTGCCTGTGGCCCAAACTCGGCACCGTTGTGCCTATGCAGAGAACACAGAGATGATGGAAGTACAGGGTTCAGAAAAGACAATTGTGGCCTGACTGTCCTCGCACAGAAAGTAGACACGCGGAGCTAGCCAAAAGTAGACTTTGGGTTTAATAAACTTAAATTATTCCAAGCAAGGATCTTTGTGCCTTTAAATATATTTTATGTGTAATTTATTGCATTTATTACGAGAAGTTCTATATTAATTCTCTGTTTAAATGTGTTGCTTTAACACAGCATCTCAGGGTGCGCTTTATACATGGTTGAATTTGCATTTTTCACCCACTGAGTGTATGAAAAGGCACATCTCCAGCGCAAAAGCCAGCACCCTTCCCCTGAGTTCAAGGCAAACACGCCTGTAAGAACGTTTTGTAAACGTGGGCAAAACAGTATCTTTTTCATCTAGTTCAGAGAAGCCTAAACCACTTCAGCTTGCCTTATTCTATTCTCTTTAGTTCATCCTGAAACAGGTACCGAGCGTGGAAAACTTTTGCCTTTACATGAAATACAATTAATGCTATAAACAGTCAAAAGCAGAGCCAGGGCCAGCCTCAGCTCCAAGCTGCAGGAACGGGAGAGACATTAGCGAGAGGACAGCCCTGCCCAGACAGCATTACAGAGGTGTTACCTGGAGCTCTGCCCTTCATGTCATTCATGCACTCCTTGTAGTTCTTTGCAATCAGGGAATAGAGATGCTCTAAATTTGGGTTTTTCCCGGCAGCTACCAGGGCTTCGGCCGTGGCCAAGTGCATCACCGTATCATCACTGACTTTCCAACCTCGGATGCTGAGGTTGCTGAGTCCCCCCATCTCCGCTAGCTCCTTGTGGATAGCTGGGCCACTCTGCAGGAACTCCCATTTCCCATTGTAATAGCCCAGCGTGTCACCAACTGCACTCAACACCATCGACGCCACATAGTTTTCCATCACCTTAGGACACATTTTTTGCCCCAGGACTGCTTCAATGCAGAAAACACTACGAAAAAGAAGAGAGGGAGATTGAAAATAAAATCTTTCCCAGTTCAGTACAAGCCTCTACTGCTAAGCTCCAGCAGGCTGGATACCCAGCCCAGCACCTGCGTCTCCCTCAGAGGATATATTCCTTCAAAGCACATGCTTCCCCGCAGACCTCCGGCCGCATGCACCCACCAGTAAGCACATAGCAGCTCCGTGCTTCCCCGCAGACCTCCGGCCGCGTGCACCCACCAGTAAGCACATAGCAGCTCCTGGGCAGCCCAGCCCTGGGCCAGGGCAGCCGGCCATGTCCTCCCAGGGCGGCGGCAGCAGCCCAGGATAACACTGCACGTTGTAGCCGGGTCAAACACCGAAAAGCAAAGGGAGGACTGCAGGAACGTGTGCAGGTTATGTGACCATACCCATGTTCATCGCTTTTTTGAGTGCAGCCCACAACACGAGTGAGGAGGTTAGATCAGCTCCCAGCGGCTTTCGTACCCTGGGGATAACGAGGCAGAGCTCGCCCGTTTCAGCAGGCCTTGGCAGAGGCTATAAGCACAGGGGCTCTGGGCAATGCTGGGCCTTGCTCCACAGGCCGGCTGCAACAGCGGGTGCTCGTACACGCAGAACTGGCTATCCCAGCGGGTATTTTCAGCGATGCCCCCCCGCAAAAAAACCCCACGCTCCTCCTCAGGGTTTGCTGCGCCTCACGGCGAGGCCCTTTTGCTTGGGAGAAGCGGAGGCGGGGAAGGATGGTGGGGCCCGCCGAAGCCGAGCCGGGGATCCGCGCCGCCCGGGGAGGCGGCCTCTTCCCGGTGCCGGCGGGT